CAGACCCCCCAGGCCCTCCGAGATAGCCTGGAAGAGACCCCCCCCCGAAATGAGACCCCCCTCCCTTTGTTACGAAATCTGGCCTACCCCCCACCCCACTGGGCCATGGTAGCCAAGCCCCGCCAGACCACCCTCCTGCAGACAGGCGTGCGCGGGCGCCCCGAAGCCCGAGGGCACGGGCACAGGTCCCCACCCAGATTTGTATAAGTCGGCCAGTGGGGTCCAGGCTTAAGTCGGGCCTGTCCCTCGACATGAGGAGTATCCAAAAAGTAGTCCAAACATAGTCTGGGGACCATTGGTTCGAGCATTTTTTGGGACATTCCGGAGTATTTCTGGGGCATCTTTCATTGTCCCTCCAAAGTCCCACTGTAGGAGGACATGCTCAACCTAAGTCTAGGCCAGGCCAGTGGGGATCTGGGTCGGTTCAGCGATGCTGCTCACCTGTTGTTGCCCCTGCCACGTGGACGGCGAGGTCGGAGACTGCGCGCCCTCGGCCGCCTGCTCGGGCCGCCCGCACGCCCGCCGCTCCTGGGGCTGCCAGCGCACGGGCTCTGGGCCTCCCAGATGGGGTCCGAGAGCGTGGGGTCGGAGGCTCGCGCCGCATCGCCGATGCATCGGCGACGGGGGGCCCGACCAGCGCCGACGTCGCGGATGCGTCGCCGACGGCGCCGACGCATCGCCGACGCATCGGCGACGCATCGGCGATGCGGCAGGATCCTCCGGTTTCATCCGCTCCGACCCCATCGGGGAGGCCTCCAGGGGCCTCTCTGACGCGCGGTCGCGCGCGCGCTTCCGGGCTGTCTGCCGTGGCCAGCGGTGCGCTCTCGAGGAGCCCTCGCCCAGCGAGGCGGGTGCACGGCGTGGCCACCGCACCTTTTGTGGGGCCTCCGACTCGTGGCGCTTCGTTTTCTCGCACGGATCTGAGGACCCTCCGCACAGCGCCACACTTGCCCAACATTTTCAAAAGAAAAAGGAATGGGGGAGGAGGAGGAGGAGGAGGAGGAGGAGGAGGAGGAGGAGGCGGAGGAGGAGGAGGAGGAGGAGGAGGAGGAGGAGGGGAGGAGGAGGGAGGAGGGAGGAGGAGGAGGAGGAGGAGGAGGAGGAGGAGGAGGAGGAGGAGGAGGAGGAGGAGGAGGAGGAGGAGGAGGAGGAGGAGGAGGAGGAGGAGGAGGAGGAGGGGATGACCAAGACCAAGATGTTGTGAGATCTTGCTGACGCCGACCTTGGTCCTGGGCCATGCCGGCCGTCGCCGATTCGTTAGGACGCTCGAGGAATCGACGTTCAGTCTTGCTCAGGGTCCTCGCTTTGCTTTCTTTACCTCTACGTCATGCAGGCGCCGCGGCACGGTGGCGGATCAACGAAAGCGGAGACGCACGAGCGGGGGTATCTACACCTGCCGACGCTGTTTGGACAGGTGCATCCTGAGACGGGCTCCAGAGATGGCGACGATTCAGGCATCAAAGCCAGAACTCTGCAGGGATGGGTAACTAGCGAGAAGGACGAAGACGGAAGAGCACGACGCAACGGAGGGGAGGCAGGAGGGGGGGCAAGAACAAGAGAAACACGTATTAAACATGCCTGTCCGTGCCTGGGGGCAAACGCATCTGCAGATCGTGGCCGTCGACTCCTTTGAGTCGGCCTTCCGTCCCACAGTTCCGCCACCTTCTGCGTAATTAGGCAGTCCGGGCGCACACTGTGCCTAAAGGAGTTCTTTCCCCGGGAGGCGGCACGCAGAGCACGATGCCGGCTGCCATGGGAAGCGGGAAGGACGAGGGCGGAAGAGCAAGGACCACAAGAGGGGAGGCGGGAGCGGGAAGAGGGCAATGTCGGGTATGGTGCTTGCACACGTCCACTTTCCTTTGGCACGGTACATCTGCTGGTGGGGCTCTCTTTGGTTGCTTCGAGATCCAGGAACTCGTAGCCGACGCGGATTCCGAGCGACGCCGAGGAGACCCGGATGGCGGCGCTTGCGACTCCCTCCTCCGTCTTCCGTCACCCCCCTCGCTTGTGTCGGACGGGTCTTGGTGCGTGTTTCTTTATTGCTTGGGGCATGATAGGCAGTATAGCCCCCGGCCCCCCTCCCCCTTGTGACGTAACGCCCCTCCCCCCACCAGTGCACTCCGGGCACTGCCGCCGTGCGCACGGCGGGGGGGAGGCGTTACATTATACCCACCCCCCTGGCCCCTCCCCCACCACTCCCCCCATAGTGCCCATTGTCGCCGAAAATAAAGAAGCGCGCTCCTGAGATCTGGGCGTCGCAGTTACTTCACACCGGGCGCCTCTCGGTTCGGCCTCGGGCCCTGGGGCCTTGGGCGGAGAGCGCCCCCGCGCGAGAGGAGCGCCGCAGAATGGACGAAGGGGCTGCGGCCCTGGCTGTGGTCGCTTTGGGCAGTGTGGCAGGTTTTGTTCACTCCGTGGCCACATGTGAATGCTACCCCCGCCCCCCACGACTTCGAGGGTACATAACCGGGCGCGCTCCACTACTCGCAGAGTGCCTGCTCGCAAGCGTCCGACAGACGCATGCCTTCCTACATGGAGCGTATCGCAGGATCCGCGGCGGCGAAGCCGGGCCATCTGCGAGCAGCCACTTCGCGGGCAGTGGAGCGCGCTTGCCCGGTAAGGGGGGCGGGGTGGGGGCTCACTTCGCCCGGGAGCTCCCGAGCGGAGGGAGCTCCCGCCGCCCCTCGGAGAGCGCGAGGGGTGGGGGCAGGGTTCACGCGTGGCCACCTGTTCACGACGTCGGATCTCTGGGATCCGGCGGGGGGGGTCGAGAAAGGGGGGGGGCATTTCGGCATCCCCCACAGCCGCCCCTCAGAGATCGTGAGGGGTGGGGGCAGGTTTCACACGCGGCCACCTGGTCACGACGTCGGATCTCTGGGATCCGGCGGGGGGGGCCGAGAAGACAAAAATACTTTCCCCGGTAAAATCAGACTTTCCCCGGGAAAATCGAACATTACCCGGTACAACCGTTCCCCGGCTTGATTCCCCGGTAGAATCTGTGAGAGGCGTCTGAGAGGCTTCTGAGAGGCTTCTGAGAAGCTTCTGAGAGGCTTCTGAGAGGCTTCTAAGAGACTTCTGAGAGGCTTCTGAGAGACTTCTGAGAGGCTTCTGAGAGGCTTCTGAGAGGCTTCTGAGAGGCTTCTGAGGGGCTTCTGAGAGGCTTCTGAGAGGCTTCTGAGAGGCTTCTGAGATACTACTACTACTACTACTACTACTACTACTACTACTACTACTACTACTACTACTACTACTACTACTACTACTACTACTACTACTACTACTACTACTACTACTACTACTACTACTACTACTACTACTACTACTACTACTACTACTACTACTACTACTACTACTACTACTACTACTACTACTACTACTACTACTACTACTACTACTACTACTACTACTACTACTACTACTACTACTACTACTACTACTAACTACTACTACTACTACTACTACTACTACTACTACTACTACTACTACTACTACTACTACTACTACTACTACTACTACTACTACCTACTACTACTACTACTACTACTACTACTAACTACTACTACTACTACTACTACTACTACTACTACTACTACTACTACTACTACTACTACGACTACTACTACTACTACTACTACTACTACTACTACTACTACTACTACTACTACTACTACTACTACTACTACTACTACTAACTACTACTACTACTACTACTACTACTACTACTACTACTACTACTACTACTACTACTACTACTACTACTACTACTACTACTACTACTACTGCTAACTACTACTACTGCTACTACTACTACTACTACTACTACTACTTCTACTACTACTACTACTACTACTACTACTACTACTACTACTACTACTACTACTACTACCACCACGACTACTACTACCACTACCACTACCACTACCACTACCACTACCACTACCACTACCACTACCACTACCACTACCACTACCACTACCACTACCACTACCACTTCCACTACCACAACCATTACCACTATCATTTCCACCACCCTTACCAATACCAGTGCTACAACGCGCGAGCACACCGAGATCAGACATTCCCCGGTATGTTTTTTTCCGAAATTGAACGGTCACACGTAAGCCAACCAGTTGGCTTTCGAAGACTCTGCAGCCCGACCCCGCTCGAAACATTAGCAAAAGAAGCGCCGCAAGAATCGTACATTCCCCGGTGCTACCGGGGAATGTCCGTTTTTCCCGGGGAATGTCCGATTTTCCCGGGCTGAGTACCGATCGCGGGTCGAGAAGGGGGGGGGGGCATTTCGGCATCCCCCACAGCCGCCCCTCAGAGAGCGTGAGGGGTGGGGGCAGGTTTCACACGCGGCCACCTGTTCACGACGTCGGATCTCTGGGATCCGGCGGGGGGGGTCGAGAAAGGGGGGGGGGGCATTTCGGCATCACCCGCAGCCGCCCCTCAGAGATCGTGAGGGGTGGGGGCAGGGTTCACACGTGGCCACCTGTTCACGACGTCGGATCTCTGGGATCCGGCGGGGCGGGGGTCGAGAAGGGGGGGGCATATCGGCATCACCCACACAAGCTTCTTCGATGTGTGCCTGCCCCCCATGAGCACAGCGTCATGCTCAAGCCACCGTTCGACGACGACCTCCGTTTTTTCTCCCCCCCTCCTCCGTCTTCCCCGCGCCCCCTCCTCTTGTCTTGTCCTTTCCCTCCCCCAGAGATCAGGTGTCTTCTTCTGCTCCTGGAGGCCTCGACCCCTTCCCGGGGGCCCAGCTCTTCATCCCGAGGCGTTTGTGGACGGCCCCGGGGCCAGGCGAGGGCCCACCGAGCCCTAGAGCTGCGAGACCCCGCTGTCCCGATTTTTTTTTTTTTTTTTTTTTTTTTTTTTTTTTTGTGAAGACGCCCGGGGCCTTGGCCCCATCCTCGCCGCTGCCCCTCGGCGTCCTCGCCGCCGCCTCTCGCCGCCCATCGCCAGCGCCGCCGCGGGCGCCGCCGCCTCTCGAGGGCGCGCGGCTCGCGGGCTGCTACGTGGACGCGCCGGTCCGCGAGGGGCGGCTGCACCAGTCCGCGCCGTCCGTGTACGCCAGGGCGCTGCAGGCGCCCTGAAGCGTCAACCACCGGCGCCCTGCGTGGCTGGCCTGCTCGGGTCGTGTTGCCGCACTTGTGGGCCCCAGGGCTGTGCGGGGGCTTTCGAGGCACCGCCCGTGGCTTCTCACTGGAGCCGTTTTGGGCTGGTCTTGGGGCTGTCTCGGGCAGTCCGGGGCCGTCTTGGGCCCACCTGGGGGCCCACGTGGTTGCCGCCGGGACCCTCGTAGAGCCCTGGAGTCGACGAGTCATCCTAGGAGTTCCAAAGTTAGTTTTGGAACTCTGGAGTTCCGAGCGAACTTTAAGGTTCGCTCGGAATCGCGCAGAGGTCCCACGAAAGCAAGGCTTTCCATGCTTCTGGCTGCAGCTGGTTCTGCGCCTCCGTCTGGCTGTCCCGCACCCGGGGGGGCCTGCTGTTGTCCCCTCCCCGCGGCGGGGCGCGGCGTCGACGCGTCTGCAGGAGGAGGAGGAGGAGGAGGAGGAGGAGGAGGAGGAGGAGGAGGAGGAGGAGGAGGAGGAGGAGGCGCTGCCCTTCCCTGGCCTTCGCCAGCCGTGGCCCTCGTCGCCGCGGCTGGGCCCTCGTCGCCACTCCTGGGGCCGAGGGCGCCCCAGAAGAGCTCCTGGGAGCAGCTGTCAGTCTCGTTTCAGCGAGCCCTATCTCCTCCTCCTCCCCCTCCCCCTCCTCCATCGACGTTGGCATAGGACTTTTTGTAGATGACGTATCACGGCTACACATTCATGCATACGCACCACAAGAACGCTACATCACACAGCAGCTCAATCACGCCACCCAGGGACTTCAGGAGCACATCGCCAAGAACGGGCACGTCCTCAACAAGGACAAGACAAACCATCTTATCAGTTTTTATGGCCACGGCTCGTTTGAAGCGGCACGAGAACTATCCAGACACAAAAATCAGGGAGAGGTTCTCCGAGAAGTCAGAATCCTGGGGCCTATCATGAGCTTCGACGGAGTTTTGAGGACCGAGCTGAAGGCGCGCATCAAAGGAGCCAAGGCCGCATGGAGATCGCTGGGAGACGTTTGGCACCAGCCCCTTCATCACCGACTGCTGCGCACCCTCTTCCTGTGCTTTGCATACAGCGCCGCCATCACTGGCCTGACGGCGTTCGTGTTGCCTGCGTCCTTTACCAGCCAGCTGGACACAGTGCTGGTCAAGATGCTGCGCTGCCTGATGCACGGAAAAGCAAAAACAGAGTACGACGGGCGTATTAGGACATTGAGCAACAGTGATGTTTTCGAACATTGGAACATTAGCCGTGCCGCCACAGAGCTCCGAGTGCAGCGACTCCGATGGTGGCAACAAATAGCAATGGAGCCTAGCAGTCATAGGCAAACCCTTACGGCTATCTTTGGGGCCTAGGAAATGGATAGGCTACTCGAGGTTTCCAGATGCACTCCAGAGGGACACCTTGCGAGGCACTCTACACCGTGGGCATTCCAGGTTCGGGGCGATCTAGAGGCCTTAGCGAACGCCGACCCCCGCTTCGACATGATTTGGACCGACAGGACAACTGTGCTGCAGGTGTTCAAAGACTCTTACCTCGGAGCTAGCTTCGCCAAGATCTCAGTGGGCACCAAGAGGGACTTCCTTAGCATAGAGGGCTCAAAGAAGTTGGCCAGCTTTTTTATATTATATATATAGAAACTACTGAAGCTTGGAATCACAACGCTCGACGAGACGATGCCCCCGCACATCACAGAGCACCAGCGCGAGGGGGACAGCGGCAGCAATAGCAGCATCGCAGACGAGTACGTGTGCACGCACGTGCTGGGGGAGGAGGGCGAAGGACGAGGATGCGGCATGTCGTTCACCACGATGAAGGCGCTCACGGCACACATCACACACGCACGCAGCATGCGTAACTTGCACTCAATGATAGTGAGCACGAACGTATGCCCGTGGTGCAGAACGTGTTTCGCGAGCAGAGCGTCTTGTCTACGGCGCGTGATCACCATGTCCCGCTCCGACCCCCTTCGCTGCCCCACCAGGGCCACCTCTTTTGATGTCAAGCCAGAAGAGAAGAGCTTTTACACGTGCGGGGGCTGCGGCCAAGAGGACTCCGATATTAACGAACCCCTACTACACGTAGCCATGCGCGCGCTCGGCCCATCAGAGAGTCATGGCGTGGAGAGCAGGCAGCGGCGCGAGAGCAAGGCAACGATCGGGCACGATGGGGGCAGCAGCGGAAGAAACAGCGCCAGCACGAAAGAAAGAAACAGTTGGAGGCCCGAAGAAAGTGCTGGCAGCAAGCCTGGCTCAGACGAGTGTGCCGCGCACGTGGGAACCATGCTACTGCAGACGATGTTGCTCAACAGCGCCCAGATGCTTCGACTGGTATCAGGCAGCCTATGGGACTTCTTCCTGGCAGAGGGCGAAGACAAACCAGTGGAGGCCGCGGCCGAGGGGGGGGTCAACTACGCAGAGGAGGTCAAGACCAAGGGCAGCAACGAGATGGGATCCCCACACCTCCACACGGGGGCAGAGTTCTTCCTGGAGCTGGCCAAGAGCGACCATATTGGCGGCGAGACGAAGGACATACTCACGCAGTTCGCGGAGCTGATCGAGGTGATGAACAGGGAGGACCTCGCGGACATTCTATCACACTTCCGCGTGAAGAACGCATACACGGAGCCAGGCCAACCACAGAAATGGAATATCCACAAACTGTTCAATTCCCTGAGCCCGTCGCCATGGACACAGAAGCTGAAGGGCGAGGTGAGCGCGCCGAGAGTCGGCAACGAGAAGGCGGAGATCGAGTTCGGCACCTTCGGAGTGCAGGATCTTCGGCAGGCCACCTGCCGCGCTCTCAAGGCGATGCAGGCCCAGCAGATCTTCGGAGCGCCGCCGCCGTCGGCGCTCGAGAGACAGCTGCAAGCAGCGCTCCGTGCGCGCCAGCAGCAAACCGAGTAGATATCGATGGACTCCGAGCCATGGCACGGCGTGGCAGCGAGAGAGCCCAAACACTGCTTGCACAACTGAGTCGCCAACAGTGAGCAGTGAATGGGCCCCAGATTGCACATTGAAGAATGTGCAGTCGTGATCAGCAGTTTTTTCTCGTTTTTCATTCTTATAGTGTATTCTACCCTGAACGAGGCCAAGGGTCCAGGCGGATAGTTGACAGCAGAGACGAATGCGACGCAGCAGAGAGACACGAATGGCCTGAATTGGTATTCTTCTCCCATGCAGGAGGCCCTCGTCTCAGGCTGAGACCTGCCGCTCTCGTCGCCTACCCCGCTGGCGTGTGCGCGGGGCTCGCCCTGGACTGTCCTGGGATGCTTTTGAGGCCCCGCTCTGCCCCCTCCCCTCTCCCCTCTCGCGGGGGAGGGGGGGGGTCTCCTGGAGGCCCTGGCTTTCTTCGGAGGCTCTTTGACCTGGTGCGGCCGTCGGGGAAGGAGCACCGAGCGCGCTTCTTGCTCGAGCTCTACCTGCCCGTGCCTTGGGGCGTCACCGTGGGGAGGGGGGTGGAGTGGGGGAGTGGGGAGGTTGGAGGAGTCTTCTCATCTGCGCACGCTTTAGACGGGCTTCTCTCGGCTTGGACATGCATGAGATTTAAAACCCGTTTTCCCGAGATGGAGGGGGTGGGCCGGAAGGTCATAATCTTCCACATTTGCATGCCAGTTTTGCGAAATTTGGAGGGGCTCGGCATCGAGCTGCAGCGGGCCCAATGGGCCTAACAAGGCCTGGGGTCCCGTAGGCTGACCCCCTGCCATGCCGATAATGCCGCCAGCAGCTACCGAGCTCGCACACATGCGAGACACGTCCCAGCAACGTAGCAGTGGACTCACCAGTTGCCAAGGCGTCCGACTCCGACTCCGACTCTTCCTCCTCCCCCTCCTCCTCCTCCTCCTCCCCCTCCTCCTCCTCCTCCTCCTCCGCCTCCTCCTCCTCCTCCGCCTCCTCCTCCTCCTCCTTCTCCTCCCCCTCCGTCCCCATCCACATCTCGAGCCCCACCTTCTCACCACCTCCGTTTGCGACATGCCCCTCGAAGCCTCAAGAGAGCAGCCTATAATATCCCCATCCTGGGGGGTAGGTTGGCCAGTGGGGCCCATCCCACGCTGGTGGGGATGGGGATAGGTTAAATGATGCTCAAGCTGTATCGTTTTTTGTTTGGTTTCCCCACGCCCGGGACTCCCAGATGGGGTCCGAGCAGATGGGGCCAGGGCATCGCATCGCGGGTGCATCGGCGATGCGGCATATCCTCCGACACCATCTGTTCGGACCCTATTTGGGAGACCTCTAATCAAAAACGGGTGGCGGGCGCCATCCGTGTCTGGGCCCCTCGCTGTCTGGGATGCCAAGGCGTGGTCCCACGGACGCCCCGGCCCCTTTCGGCCTTCTGTCGGATGAGGTTTTCGGGAGTTTGCGACGGTTCTCGGCGTTTTTCCAGCTTCGGGGTGCTCTCTGGCAGCTGCGCCCGAACGGCCGCCGAAGGCCCGAGTTATGACCCTAAAGCCACTACTTCCAGATGCTCGAAACCAGTCGGCTCCGAGGTTTTTCTGCGTGCTCGGTCCCGTGGGGGCCAGCTTCGGGCCCTGGGGCCGTTTGGGCACGGCTCGGCACGAGATGCCAGTCCCGGGGATAGAAAGGTCGAGAGGTTCGGGTTTCGATGCTCGAGGGTGTCTTGTCGCGGTCCATGCACGCGCCCCCGTGAGTGCGCCATCTCTGCGCGGAGGCATCTGCGCAGGGGGCCGCCCCATATTTGCGCGGCGTTGCGGCAGGGGGGTCCACGGCGCAGGGCCGTCGGTATGGATGTGTGTTCGCGCCAGCGATCGTGGGGTAATGTAATGTTCGGCGGCGGCTGCGGTGGCTGCGGCGCTTCAGTTTTGCTCAGTTCCATTGCTTTCTACTATTCGCGCGATGTGAAGAGACGTGCCTCTGGCGATCTTGGGCCAGCCAAGCATTGATCAATTTTGGCCCGAAGTTTTTCCGAACCATCCTGTGGCCCTACGAATGGCAGCTCCCACTCTGGACAGTTGCTATCGATTTCAA